TTACCTTCGTTGTTGCTATCATTAATTCCTGCAAATTCGCGAAGATACTCCTCTAGAATAGCAGTTTGCTGTTCGACGATCGCTTGATAGTCGCGAACTTGTTGAAGAAGGAATTGATTAGCTCTCGCAGCTTGCTCGATCGACAAAAGAAGATCGTCGACCTGGATTTGCTGCTGAGCCAATTCTTCTGGAACACGGTCCATAGCCTGGTCCACGATCTGTGGAACCAGAACCGGCATCTCATTAACCTCCCCTTGATCCGCCTGTGGTCCGTCGTTGGCTTTAGCAACAACTGGATATGAGGTTGATTTTGGGAGACACATGATGTCAGTAGAAATTTTCAATATAGTAGAAGAAAAGAAAGAAAAAAGATTTGTAGGGGTTAGTAGAGCTCTTGGAGCCAAGAAATGACCGGGGATGTCGACTCCGCCCACTTTAGACGTCGTTCAGTACGAATTGGATATGAAAAAAAGATACGGCAAAAAAGAGAATTTAGAAAATAATTGGAACATTGGAGGATTAAAAAAATTTCAGGACCTTTCGGTGTGCTGAGTCTTGGAGTCGGAATGGTTGTCGTCATTTATTCATTCGCGGGATTTTTTGGATTTTTGGCTTATGGAAATGACGTTCAAGATTCAATTACATTGAATCTTCCAAACGATCAGTAAGAGAGGAAACAGGGGATTTAGACAATGAAAAATATGAATTTCAGCCTGGGAATTTTCGTAAAAGCAGTTTTACTATTTGTCGTGTATTCTGGATTTCTGATTCAAGTTTTCCCTATCGTTGCAATGATTTGGCCAGCAATCAAGAAGAAACTCAGAAACTCATGTGGGGTCTCTACGACTACAAAAAGGATTGTTCATTTTGCATTCAGATATTCTATTGTTGTTGTTGTCTGTAAGTTTTCACTAGACTTCTGATTTTGAAAGTGGTGTACGGTGAAATTTTTTAGTTGCAACAAAATATGCAGATGCCCCCCCCCCAAACTTTCAACTTTGGGCTCATATATCTCGGTTCCAGTTAAAGTTATAAATGAGTTGTCAACTGGTAAATTGCTTATCATAACCTCACACACATTTTATCAGTTGACAAATCTTTGATATCTTGCATAGGAATCAAGATAATTGAGCTCAAAGTTGGCAATGTGGCAAAGCCTCAAAAAATGAACCTTAAAAAATGATAATTTTCAGTCCTGCTCTCCTATGCAATTCCCCGTCTATCCGACATGGTCCCACTGGTTGGAGTAACCGCTGGAATGCTTCTCGCTCTCGTCTTCCCATCACTTTTCCATCTTCTCATTTTCCTTCCCCAATTTGAATGTCGTATTGGTTTCCTTTTTGACATTCTCCTTGACATTGTCTGTATCGTCATTGGAATGTTCTTCGTCATCTATGGTTTCATCACAAACGTTCACCATCTGATGCGTTGAGATACAGCTCCTATCGGGTCTTTTTTCTTCTGTCTCGTTTTGCTTTTTTAATAAAGTACGGAAAATTCTTTCTTTGCTTTTTCTTTCCTTGGTCAAAGTTTCTTCAATTGTGTTTATTAAATACATGTGGTAGGCGTTTTTGTTCAAACGATGAAATTGAAAGATTCAGTATAAAAAGGCAGAGGAATAATGGAATCCAGCATTCCGAGATGCTTTTCAAACTCGCAATACTCTCTAGTCTTCTGGCGCTCGTTGCTTCTAGAACTCACTTGACGGACTGTCTGGATGAGAACAAGTACTGTGTTGGACTTCCGAGAGGATGTGTTGGAACCGCCTGTATCGTCGCTTTCAGTTCTGTGGTGAGTTACTTTTCAGAATCTTCGACTTAACGTCTTCTAGGATGATTCTACTGTATTCAAACTTTTTTCCTTTGAGCTTAATCTGAATTTTTATTTTTCGTTGAGAAGTTTTAGAAACATCGGATTTACCATAAAAATTTGAGCTCATATATCTCACTTCCTGTAAAAGATGTCAAAAAGTAGTTAACTGAAAAAATATTTTCGATATTATTATAAACATTTTGTCAGTTAACTACTTTTCATATCTTACAAAAACCGAGATATACGCGTTCAAACTTGGCAGTGTGGGGGTCCTTCTATTATCGGATTTACGGTAGTTTCTTTTGAGCCTAATATTCATTTTTATCTCTCTTCAAGAAGTGTTAGAAAAGGAAACAAAAAGCTCTATCCACTATTTTTTTTGCAGTCCAACGGAACCCATACCGACATTGAAATCTTCGGAAACGACATACTCGACAAAACCTGGCTTGCCATCGCCTACTCAGCAGACAAACAAATGAAGGATGACTTCGTTGTTTTCTGTATCCGTGACGACAAAGGAACCGATATCAACGATATTGAAGAAATGGGTGGACTTGCTTACAATGGTTATCACTCCAACGAAATGATTGGAACCGTCAAGAATATGAAGAAGGACGGAAGTGACAAGTATGGATTCCGAATGGAGATGGTTGAGTATGAGAAGGAGGAGAAGACGTTGTACTGCAAGATGACGTGAGTTTTATCATTTAGGCTCAAGTCATTCGCCTTTTTCGAAGTTTCAGTCACCGCGTCGAACCAGTCATTGACCACTTCAACATGACCAAGGTCGAGATTCTGATGTCGAAGGGAGTATTCATCAAGGGAAGTTTGACCTACCACGGAAAGACACGCAACAATGTCGGAATCGTTGATTTGTCTGGAGAAAAGAGTGAGTTTCAGACTTTTAGACACTTATGATTACAGTCAAATTTGTAATAGAAGGGCCCCATAACTTTCCACTTTGAGCCTATATATCTCGGTTTCTGTCAAAGATATGAAAAGGTTGTCAACTGATAAATTTTTGTGATATTATGATAAACAATCACTTTTTTTATATATTTGAAAGGAACCGAGAAAATCGACTCCAAATTCGAAAAATTTTGGTATTTCCTAATATTATTCCAAAAAAGTTGAAAAAGAAATTCGAAATCGCCAAAAAAAATAGAATCCCGACATTTGAAAAGCACACAGATGTTGGAATAATGTACCAAAATTTGAACTGTCTAAGAATTTGGTTTGGGACCTTTAACATTTTTTGAAAAGATCAGAAAAAAATTGGGTCATGGGCTATAAAAAATAGGTCGCGACGTAAAAAAATCTAGGTCACGCCTAGGTTTTTAGGTACTGATCTAAAAAAATTAGGTCATTACCTAGGAAATTTAGGTTGTGACCTAGAAAAAAAACTAGATTATGACCTAGATAAAAGCGAAAAGAAATCGGAAAAATTGCAGTGTCAAAAAGGCGTCCCATCATTTTTAGGAACATTTTCGTCCAAAAAATTAATAATTTTTTATCGGAGACCCTACTTTAGACATTTAGAATTTTAAAATTGTTTTAATAATTCCCAAATTAACTAAATTAAATTCTACAACATTCTTCATAAGACCTATCTTATTTGGAATATTTTATCTGAAAATTTTTCCAGAGCACAAGAAGAAGAACTCCGCTTCGGACTCCTTGGTTCTTCTCTCCTCGGCCATCACTTTCATCGCCGCCAAAATGTTCTTCTAATCATTCTAATTATGATTACTTATTGTTGTCTCTCTCTCTTTAAATAAATAATTTTCTAGAAGGTTTTCGCTGAATCCAAACACTCCCACGTCTCCAATAGCAACAGAAATACGAGCGAGTTTCCGTTGTCCTTCTTCTTCTCTCGCTTCTTTTTCTTTTTCTTTTTACCACCTATAAAACGATTCATCTTCTCCCTCTGAGCTTCTCGTCCTTTCTCTTTTCTCCGAGAAGCAAAAAGAAGAAGAAAAATAGTTTAACACATATTTCACAACGATTCCTATCCTTCTCTCTGGGTCTCCTCTGCCACGTCATTCCATTCAAATCGTCGGTGTCGTTCTCGCTCTTCTCGAAAAAGATCATTGATATTCAATTGAATGATTCATAATTTATCGGTTGTATTGGGAATGGGTGGTGGTCATTAATAAAAGAGAACCCAGAAATGACCACAAGTATCAACTCGGTTGTTACTGTATTCCAAAACGTTTTTACCAATCATGGAAGCACTCTTCTTAATGGGATTCTCATTGCAACTACGGTTGGAGGACAATCGGTGAGTTTTTCGTTCAAACCTGGGAAAATTTACTTTCATAAAATCAAAAAAAGACATTTTTAAGAAATATCATTTAAAAATTACCTTTAAAAATTTAAGTTTATAAAAATGTCTTCAAAAAATACTTTAATAAAAAATACCTTTCAAAAAAAATTTAAACTTAAAAAATTTCTAAACAACTTTTTTTAAGCCTTCAAAATGAAAAGTTTATGATTCTTATGGTGAGAAAATATGATTTCCCGAAAAAAAGTTACTACAGAATAATCAAACTTATTTTGGGAATTCTCACTTTTTTGAGAATTCGAAACCGTTTTTTGCAACAAAAAAACGGTTTTCAGGGAAAAAATTAATTTAATTCAATTTCTAAAAATTCTAAAAAAACTAATTTTGAAAATTCTGAAAATCTAACTTTTCCAAGAATCATGAAGTTTCCAAAATTAAAAAAAAATCAAAACTTCGCAAAAAATTAGTGTCAAAAATCAAAAAAAAAAAGAAGAATATACGATTTTCTAGATTCGAAATTTAAAAAAAGCCATATATTTGGAAATCCAAATATTCCACAACTTCTAAAATTTCAAATTTCTGGAAATTCAAAACAGTAATTTTGCACACTCCGAAAATTTTTAAAAATTCGAAAAAATCCAAAGTTAGGAAAACATACAAGAACTCGCAAAACTCAAAAAAATAAGGTCCAAAATCAAAAAAAACCTTAAATTCGAAATAAGAAAATCAGAAATTTCGAAATTCTAAAATTTCCAAAAATTCTAAAGCTCAAAATTCTAAAAACTCTGTAAATTCTCCGACCGCGAACTGGCAGTAGTATTTTATTTTTCAAATTTTCTGAATTCGAGTCCAATTTAGAAGAATTCTAACAGTTTTTATTGCAAAAAAAACCTTCAAAAAATTCAAAATCTTCTGATTTCAGCTTGTCCGAAAGCTCACCTTCTCTTGTCCATGTGCCTATCCGTTGAATATTTATCATTCTCTAGTTTTCATGTTCGGACCAACTGCTGCTCTGCTTCTAATTGGAATTACTGTTAACTCGACTACATGGAAACTGGCTCATGGTTTTTGTTTCAGGTGATTCCCAAAAAAAAACTTTTCTTAATAAATACCAGAAACATCCTATAGGTTGAGCTCAATTATCTCGGTTCCTATGAGAGAAATCAAAAATCTGTCAATTGACAAAATGTTTGCCATAATATCACCAATATTTAATCAGTTGATCAATTTTCGGTATCTCTTATAGAAATTGAGATAAGCTCAAAGTGCAAGCCTAGAATAGTATTTTTATTAAAATGTTTACAGTAAGTCATTATCACATGCTTTCAGAGTTCGAGACACTAGACACAGTTGGAAGACAACATGTGTATCATGGATAGAAGTTCTACTCCAATCCAGTATTGCACCGATTGCCTGGCTCTTCGTTGTATTTCTCGATGGTGGCTATTACAGATGTTATCGATCCCATGAGTTCTGTCTGACGGCAGACGCGATTCTTTGCAAAAATGAGACAATTTTTAATAGTTATGCCTTGTCATCATCTTTCAATAGAATCAGTGATAATGGAAAAGTAGATAAAGCCATCTGAATTAGAATGTAAAGTACTATTTTCAGTATTGCCCTCCTTGCATCTGTGCTCCAAACCCAACTGATGCATCATATCTGGAAGCTGAATCTCAAATTTATGCATGGGCCTTACTCGTCATAACTGGAGTCGGTGCATTTTTGGGTAATGAAAAAACAAGCGAATATAGAAGCCCACCCTACATTTTCACTTTGAGCTCCACTATCTCAGTTTCTATAAGAGATAACAAAAATCCGTCAACTGATAAAATACTTGTCATGATATCACAAAATTTTATCAGTTGACAATTGTTTAATGTCCCTTTTAGAAATTGACATGATTGAGCTAAAATTTCAAGTTTAGGGTAGCCTTCTATTTAAGTGTTTCCGGTAATTCTTACAAAAATACATTATTTTGTTTTCAGTTATCACCTGTCATCGAATGTGTGATAAGTACACACTGGTTCAACGGCAATACGTGGAAACATACAAAAATGTAGAGACCCAGAAATTCGACGCAGTCGCCAAAGTAAATCTCTTTCCCTATTGCTTTTGTGTTCTTTTTTTGGGTTTCTTGTTTGTTTATCACTGCATGGTGCTTCTTCACTTTCCTTTTGCATGTTTTGGAAGAGGAAAAATAAGGATTGATATATGAAGTGAAATCACAGGAACATGCGTCGATACTTGCCGAGCACAACGCCAGAGCATTCTTCGGACAGAAGGATTGGACAAAGAGAGATTGGGATTGGGTGTCTGGTGAGTTCAGAGTCTTTGACTCATAATTAAAATTTTTTCAAAATTCCCGGCTCAATCTTGATTTTATATTATTTTTTGTCTATTTCAATCTCTATCTTGGATCATTTTCATTAAACTTTTAAAGGTTTTCGAAGTTTCCATAATTCAAAAATTCTGAAACTTTGAAGGTGTACGGGCAAATAATCATGTAGACTCGCCGATTTTTTTGTCTATTTCGGGTCATTTTAGGCCAGTTCATTTTATATTAACATTGGACCGTTCGTTTCAGTCAATTCGGGACTAAGTCTTGGTCAATTTGAGATCATTTTCAGTCAAATTTCAGCCAATTTTTTCAGTCAATTTTTTTCGGGACGAACTTGTTTTGCTAGTCCCAGACCGCGAACAGCATGACCAAAACTTGGTCCGAAATTGACCAAAAACAGTCTCAAGCTGACTGGAAATGATGCACAAGGAACTACAGGCGGTCCAGAACCAAATAGAAGTTTTAAAAATTTGACTGAAAATGGTCCAAAATAGGCAAAAAATGGTGCGAAATAGACTAAAACTAGTCCAAAATCGACGAGAAGAAGTCCAAATTGGCCTAAAATGGTCCAGAACTGGCCTAAAATGGATTGAAATAGGCAAAAAGTTATCGAAAATCAAGTTTGGGTCGGAAAGTTTAAAATAGGTCAGGGCCAACTTTCGAAAAAATCATTTTTCTCCATGAAGATTTTTTTGAGATTTTTCACACCAACTAAAATATAAATTAAGGAATCCCGGAAGTCAATAATCCATTATTCGCTCGTCTCCGTCTAATCGCTGCTGAAAAAACGCAACAAACCATGTATACTCCCCTTCAACTTTGGAACGACAACAAGGGGTACCGTATCCCTCAGCCGGACCTTCAACTCGCACAAATCATTGTTGATGAAACGAAAGAAGATTAATAATTCGGGTATCCTCTCTCTATTCCCTTTTTTGTGGTTCAACTTCATCACGGATTTCCAATTTTCAAGGTTGCACTTCATTTCTCTTGCCTTACTTTTCGTTTTCCATAATATATCGAAAGTCATAAATCAGAAAAAGTTCATAAAAAGTGAAATGTATTCTCGAGACATTTATAATTCAGAATTCAGGGAACTTCACTCAATTACCCACAATTATAAATTTCCATTTGTTGTTGATTTTCCCTTTTACTTGTCTATTATAAAGCGGGAAAAACTAATTGAGCGATTCAATGCCGACGAACAGACTGGTAGCCATTTTTGGAAATGCAATGAGCTTATTTGATGGTATTGGAGAGAGCGGTTTATGACTAGTCCTATTGGTTTTGTATAGTTATTTGATGATCTGGTTTTTTGATTGGACCTGCTAAGGCTGGTGAGAGAGTTATATGATTTTCTCTGTGATCAAGTGTTTTTTCGGGTATACTTGCAAGCTGAGCTCAATTATCTCATTTTCTTGAAAAGATATCAAAAATTGGTCAACTGATAAAATACTCGTCGTAATATCACCAACATTTTTAGTTGACACATTTTTGATACCTCTTATAAAAATTTAGTTAATTGAGCTCAAAGTGCAAGTATACTAGAAATCATGACCTAGAAAGTCAAAACTAAACATTCAATTTATACCGTTAGGGAGCTCTTGTTTTGTGAAATTCGAATCTGTTTTTGAATTTCAAAAATGTAGCCGAGTTATACGCATTTGAAGGTTGGTGGCCCAGAAATCCTAAATTAGGCCTCATTGTTCTGAATTTGAAATGACCACTTGTCTGAAAATGAATATTTTTGAGATCTAGAAATTCGTGAAGTCTACTCAAACCGTCAGCCTTGAGCTCAACTATTTTTTCCTGCAAGAGATATCAAAACTTTGTCGAGTAATCTAAGACAATTGAGCTGGAGCGGGATTACTTGCTTTAATGAAAGCCCACCCGAACCGCCAACTTTGAGCTTAATTATCTCGATTTCGGTGAAAGGTATCAAAAATATGTCAACTGATAAAATATTGATAATATTGTGATAAATATTTTATTAGTTGACACATTTTTGATAACTCTCATAAGAACCGAGATAATTGAGCTCAAAGTTGACGGTTTGGATGGGCTTCTATTGAAAAACAGGAATCCGGGGGTTCGGTTTCTGAAAAAAAAACAGCTTGATTTCAACAAGCGTAACTGAGCAAATCCAAATACTTCAAAGGTAAACCAATGGACGATAATTTCTAGCTGCCATAGACCAACAACAGTATACTTCATAACACTTAATTACTAACAACGGTTTCCGCCAACAGGATGATCCGTTAGCTGACAGTGCGTGAATACATCCAAACAATAGACGAAGAGACACAGAGAAAGAGAGGATTCATGCTCTGATTACTGTCATTAAAGGACGAAGTTGACATGTTGCGTGTGTTTCCGAACGGAAACGATGATGATTTCGGGATTATAATTCATTGAATTAGCGGATTCGAATGAAGTGCGGAACGGATTGGTCAGAATAATCGGAAGGGGGATGGAGAGAGAATAGATTTATGGGATTTATGAATATGTTGAAGTTTTGAGTTTAGGAACTTTTGAGTGACAGAACTATGGAAACTACCGTATTTCGTCTAATAGAAGCCCACACTTAACCGTTAACTTTGAGCTCAATTTTCTCAACTTCTGTGAAAGATATCAAAAATTTGTCAACTGAGAAATTGTTAATCATAATGCCATGAATATTTTATCAGTTGACGAATTTTTCGTATCTTTCACAGGAATCAAGATAATTGAGCTCAAAGTGGACGATTTTTTGAAGATTTTTAATTATAAAATGGTCCCCGGGACCTAACTTTTTTGATGCTTGAAACCTTTTTTTTCAGGTTTTTCTGCAATGACTCACAGTATATTTTCTTTGGTAGTTTTTTTGTTCATGTCGGCTTACCAAAAAAAAGCGGCTCCCGTTCTTACTCATTTCCGTCTTTAAGCATTCCGCTCACTTAATGAATGTCTATGTCTCCTTCAAATCCACACTATTTCCCCCTCTCTTTACAAAAGGTCATAAGTTGAATGAACGGAAGAGGTAAGAAAAAGAAGAAAAATCACAAAAGACCCAACACAAAATGTCATGCTTATGCTTCTCCCGCATCTTCCGGTACTACTCATGTCCCTCATTTTTGTATGTACGATTTTTTACAACTTTTTGCAGGTGTTTTATGGTCCCCCATCCCCCACTTGAAATCATAAAACATATGCAAGCAGTAAAGTTTAGACAGAAATCGGGGAAGAGAGGGGGGACTCAATTAGAGTGACGGACCTTCGGAAATCGGAGACATCTTCTCAATTTATATGCAAAACACTAAATTTTATAGGGATTTGTTTATTGTTCTTCTCTTCTGAGCTATTCCTAATTTCCGGGAAAAGTACTTCCGAGTCGTCTTTGAAATTTTAAAGTCAATATTTCAAGTTTTCTAAACTTTTCAGTTTTCCTCTTTTTCCAATTTTTTCTTACCGTAATAACTGTTAGAAGGGCTCCTTAATATGAGCCTATTTTTCTCGGTTCGTGTCAAAGATACAAAAAAGGTGTCAACTAATAAATTGTTTATCATAATATCACAAGTATTTTATCGGTTGAGCACTTTTTGATATCTCTCACAGGAGCCGAGATAATCAAGCGCAAGTTTTATAGTACTTCGTTTTCTGAATCACCACCCAATTTTTTTGCCGTTTGTCCAAAGTTAGAGCACCACCTGGTACCATTTTCTGAGAAGATAAAAAAAATAGTTTTTGAAAGAGCAACAGGCACCTGTAAGCATCTCTATTCATATTCCCGATTAGTCACGGAGGGTGACCATAAATTGGTTCGTGAGGTAAAATGAGGAGAAAAGAGAGGGAGATGAATGGAATAGCGACCCGCCCACTTTTCAGGCTTCCACCCCACCCGATTACCGTTCATTCTAACTGGTCAGTCTACTACTTCCATCTAAAGGTATCAATATTAAATTCCACTGGTTTTGATCCGGTCTAGTTTTTGAAACTGTGGGTATAAAAACCTATTCTAACAATTTACCAGTTGTAAACTTTAATGGGATTTCGATCTCAATTTTTTATTGCATTAAGATGTTCAGAAAATTATGTATTTTCCTAATACTCTTAATTTTTTTTGAAATCCGAAATCCCCGAGAAACGTAAAAATAGGGGTGTTCATTTCTAGCCACTATATTTGGGTGTGCCTCTCTCCCCCTCCTCGACGCTCCTCAAGCGCATAATCTTCAAAAGCGCATATCTCAAAAACTATGGTTGCTAGAAAAAGTGGTTAATTGCAAACTGCTCAACATAAAATTTTACACATTTTGTTAGTTAAAAACTTTTGTTTAGCTACTGCGGTTTTTGAGATATGCGCCTTCAAAGATGTGCTACCTCTCTCTCCTTCCTTGGAGGCCGCTCCTCGAGAGCAAAATCTTTAAAGCCGCATATCTAAAGACCTACTGTAGCTAGAAAGCAGTGGTCAATTGCAAAACTGCTCAGCATAAAAGTTTACACATTTTTTAGTTAAAATTGTTTTTCTAGCTACAGTATTTTTTGAGATATGCGCCTTCAAAGATGTGCTACCTCTCTCTCCTTCCTCGGAGGCCGCACCTCGAGAGCAAAATCTTTAAAGCCGCATATCTAAAGACCTACTGTAGCTAGAAAGCAGTGGTCAATTGCAAAACTGTTCAGCATAAAAGTTTACACATTTTTTAGTCGACAACTTTTTTCTAGCTACTGTAGTTTTGGAGATATGCGTCTTTAAAGATGTGGTACCTCTCTTTAACTACCTTATTTCCTCCCTGTAATAGTAGTCCACCCATACCGTCGACTTTGAGCTCAATTATCTCGTTTCCTGTAAAAGATATCAAATTTTTGTCAGCTAATAAAATATTGGTGGCATTGTGATAAATTATTCTTAAGCTAACAATTTTTTGATAGCTTTCACAGGAATCGAGATAATTGAGCCCAAAGTTGACAGTGGATGTTCTCTACAAGACTCTACAAACTTTTATGAAAATCTGATGGTTTAGATTTTTCAATGTTTGAGGAACACTCAAAATCCCAATCCTTCCTAAAATTTGAACCAGAAATTCGAAACTTATTCGAACTTGCTTCTATTCTCTCTATTTGCGGGGTTATTAGCCATATATAGATTGTGATCAGTCTTCTCCCTCTCTCCCTCCCTAATTTCCAAAAAAACGAACACAAGACTGTCAGGTACGGTTTCTTTTCCTTCTCCCATTTCATTTTCTTTCATAATAATCGGAACGCCCTCTCTCTTTTCCATATATGGTGGTGGACTCATTGAATTGTCACTGAGTCAATGAAGTGTTTTCAATACAAAAAAGGAGAATGTTTGCGGTTCCATTAGGTTGATTTGTACGAAAAAAAAAATGTTCTAGAATGATTTGGGGTATGAGGGGGTGGGACGAAAAATGAATGAGTGAACTACAAAAAATGAAACGGCATATACTATACGACTCGGGGCGTCCGCCCTCTTTTGTCTTCGAAAAGAATGCATATAGTAATGAGACATGAATTGATACGGAAAAATTTCAATTCTTTCCTCGGAAGTTTGAGTTTTTAGTCGTGTCTTGAATTCTTTTTATGAATTTTCCTTAAAGCTCGTTTATCTCAATTTCCATGCAAGATATAAAAAATATGTCAACTGATCAAATGTTCGTGATAGTATGATAAACATTTTATCAGTGGACAACTTTTTCATATCTGTAACAAGAAGTTAATTGGCTCGAAGTTCAGGGACCCTTCTATAACAGGTTTTTAAATGAGATTTTCGGTATTTTTGGCCAAAAACCTGTTTTTCAGTTAATTTTCGGCCATTTTGACCATTTTCAAGAGACTCGTGTGAAAAATTTTTGAATTCCTGAAATTTCAGAATTCCTTGAGTAATTTACAATTCTTGATTTCAAAATTTCGAATGATTTTTTTTTTGGATTCTCAAAAACAATTTCCAAAATCTGGCTTCCACACTTCATTTTAGTTCAGAAACCAATATTCTAGCACCTCTAGAAGCCGAGATACAGTGATTTGACGTTTTTGAGAGACGCAGGCTGTTAGAGTGTCTTGTCGTCTGCGTCTCTAGCCTTCGAAACTTTGAATGGCTGAATCTCGGCTCTCAGTGTTCCTAGAGAAGTGATTATGGAATCGATTTTTCTAATTTTTTTTGCTCTTTTTGTAGACTTAAAACTGAAAAAAAAACCTAGATTGAAAACTTTGCATTCACAAAGTTTTTTGAAAATCATTAGTTTTTCAGCAATTTGCTGATTTCTGAAAGACACCTTCTTTTTAACGTTTTCAGTACAAAACGGACAAAAAAGAGGTGACTTTCAGAAATTGACAAATAGCTGGAAAACTGGAAATTTCTAAAAATCCTGTGAATGCAAAGTTTTCAATCTTGGTCTGTTTTACATCCTCCGAAATTTTCAAAGAGATAGCAAACTTGATAGCCGAGCTCCAGACACCAGAAAATGAGCGAAAATCAACTGACAAATATGTTTTTAAATATCTTATGGACCGGTACTGTATCTTAACTATATCTCAAAGTGTTTTCCGAATTCCTTTCAAAATATTCAGAACCCAGATCTTCTATCTTCACCGTGACTCAATTTTTTTTGAAGACTTAATTCCCGCATAGTGCGGGGTACTCGTCGGCACCTTCTCCTTTTTGATCAATGTCACAGATAACTCTGCTAGTTTTTTTTAGTTTTGAGGAAAGAGGACACTCTTCGCTTCTTGTTCTTTTTGTTCACTCTCTTTGATTCAACCGATAGATCATAAGTGTTTCTAAGCGGTGAATGACCGCAAATTTCCGGAGAAGATTTCGGTATGCCTAATGTTAACAGAAAAAATGTTAACAAACAAACAATGAGTCGACAAATCTCGGAAATTATTTCCTTTTTTTTTGAAATCTTTTAAATTTTTTTTCTTACATATTTTCTTTCCTGGTTTTTTTTCCTGACAAGTAACAAGTTATGTAATAGTTATGTAATCAAATATAGATTCCTATTCTGACTTTCTAAACAAACATATCCTGGGGAAACTGGTTCGTAATGCTAGATTGGAATGGTCAGAGGTTAGCCACCCACCCCCATTATTATAGGTTTCAGGTTCCAGTTCAGTGTACAATGATAACTTTAGGTTTCATGTTTATATTCCCATAACCATCATCTCCTTCTTCTACCAACTACTTGACGGGCGAAGTTTTTGAATTCCTGGATTTTTGAAAATCCTTGAATTTCAAAATTTTTAATTATTTTTTTTATCAGAAAGATTTTCGAAAATCTCGTTTCCAAACTTCATTACAGTTCAATAACCAACGTTCTAGCACCTCTAAAAGCCGAGATACAGTGATTTGAAGTTTTGAAGAGACGCAGACAGTTAGAGTGTATCGTTGTCTGCGTCTCTTGCTTTCGAAAAATCTCGGCTCTCAGTGGCCCTAGAAAAGGAAAGAAGACACTTCTTCACACTTTAGATTTCATGTTCCAGCTCAGTGTACAATATGATAACTTTTCCACAAATATTTATATTCCCATAACCATTCCCTGGCTACTTGACGGGCGGGTTTCTCATGGCGAACCACTCATAATCCACTCTTCATGCATAACCGAAAAACTCCCAATCGTTTTGCTCCGTTTCTATGTAACTCGATACTGTATTTCATGTATTTTCTTCACTTATTTAATATTTGAATACGGTAATTATGACACCTAGTTGACAGAGAAATAGTGTGAGATTTGAAGAGAGCGCAGACAAAAGTGCGTGATGGTGGCTCGTTTGCCGTGTCAAGATCCTACTTTTTTGATCTTCTTTTTTTCCGTATGGTGACGAGGCGTGAAACGGGATTAACTACTGTACGACAATGAGAATTTATTAGTATGGTTTTTGATAAGATGATAGTCATAGGTTTTGTTTTGTGCGGAAATTTATCTATTTTCCTAATATTACTGCGAAAAAAAATCCAAAATCCCCCAAAAATCGGAGAATTTAGCGAACAATTTTTTGACGGTCTGCAAAACAGGAAAAAGAAAACAAAAGTGGTTGGGGTTCGAACCCGGGATCTGAGATTGGTAGTCAAACCTGTTAGCCAATGGGCCACCAGCGCCGCCATAAATTCCGCCAACGGTGGCGCCCACCACCCTCTTTTTTCACACGTTCTTATCAAACTTCATTTTCATGATCCTAATGTGCTCGTTTGGTGTAGTGGTTTAACGTTTTGTACAGCAATCTGAGCTCCCGAGTTCGACTCCCCTCGATGTCATTTTCTTTATTCTTTTTTTTGAATACATCGTACCTTACCGTAACCCTTTTTCCAAGTCTCCCAAGTCAGAAACCAAATGACTTTTATAGTATTTAAACAAAACCAATTTAATTTTGGTTGTACTTGAGTTAAAAGAGTGCTGAAGACGTAGTCTGTATGGAAACACAAGTGTTTACATCGAGCACTTCTTCGGAAGAAACTCAGGCGACCTTGCATAAGGTCTCCTTTGTTTTCATCCTTCCCCTTCTTCGGCACCTGAACCGTTCCCCCCGTATTCTGCCACATCCTCTCTCTCTCTCTCTCTTCGCTCCATTTCCTCATTTAATGATTCCCGCATTTGAAATGTTTCAACTTTTGCTTGATAATAGTTCTCGCGCAATCAATTAGCAGCTCAAGGTCGTCGAAATCCCTAAAATCTGCTTTCAAATGAATGAATTCAGGTGTGAATTCGTGAATTCGTTCGTCAATTGAATCTAGGAATGCTATATTATGTTTCTCTTTTTACTCAATTCTATTTCTTTTATCTTGATTTGTTGTTCCCACAACGACAACTACCGTAACCTAAAAATATTTGTTTGTCTTGATTTTTGAGCTTTTTAGACAATTTTTCACTATTAAAGCCAGTCATTTTGCCACTTTTCTGGTGGAAAATACCGTAAAACCTGTAACAAAAGGGCCCCTCACTTTAAACTTTGAGTCAATATACCGTAAACACTCTATTAGAAGGGCACCCGAACCGCCAACTTTGAACCTATTATATCTCGATTTCTGTGAAAGATACAAAAAAGTGGACATAAACTGTTTATCATAATATCACACACATTTTATCAGTTGACATTTTTTTGATATATTGCATGGGAGCCAAGATAAATTAGCTCAAACTTGGCAGTGTGGGAACCCTTCTATTACAGGTTTCACGGTAACAGAAACCCAACAAAAGTATAAAAAACAAGCAAATGAATACCAAAATGAAAATTTATAGATTACTGTAGTTGCCGTTGTAGGACATGCTCCAATTTTTTGCACCATCATGTTGAACACTAATTTTTCCAGATGAGGCTTTGGCAATGGCTTCTCACATTTGCCACATTCGTCCTACTAATCACCACGGAGGCCCGTCTCAGAAGACACAGAAAACGAAGATTTGTATCAAGTCATTTTGATGAGCTCTATTGTGGAGAAAGTGCACATGCTCAATCACAGGTAATCCATAGACTATTTGAAAAAAAAATAATTATCAGAGATTTGCAGTTTGAAGAAGAACGCGAATCCAATTCTTCCAAAGTCTCTTCTGTACACAGTACCCAATTTAATTGGGGTCTCGATAATACAATATGCATCAAACTTCAAAATGTGGTTCATGTGCTAAAATACGAACGACTGGAACAACGATACCCGATTGAAAGTCAGTATTTTCCTTCATTTTCAGTTTACTTCACAAAAGGCGGGCCTGGCTTTCGCAGGCCTTGCTATAGTTCCTTTTAGAATCATTATTATTGTATCAACAAAATTAGATATGATAGAACTCAACGAGAACTACAAAATGATATTATTTGAAAAAAGGTATCTTCTCTATGAACAAAGTTACAAGCCATGAAACCGTCGATACGAAAAGGAGCGAGCCTTGCTTGGTTTTTTGGCTGTTCACAGACAAGTTATAATTTCCAAATGGTACCATTTTCTAGAAATCTTTAAGTTCTATCATACATAGTTTAGTTTGTTTTTAAATATTGATCGTAAAAGAAACCATGGACTATAGGACCATTTTGAAGTCTGATTTTCATAACTCTTTGTTTTTTCAGGTTCCTATACTTTCTCTGTTCCTTTAATTGACACAAACTGTAAGTGTCACTGTTATGGGTTTGGATCTAACGATGTATGCAATGTGGAAAAATATGCAGACGATAGAAATTGCACAACAAATTCAGAATTTCCAACTTGCTATACAAAATATCATCCAGCCGTTGAGCCACTGGATTGTCCAGTGACAAGCATCCCTGCGAAGGTGAGCTAAAATTTTTAAAAAAATTTGCATTAAAATGTTCCCAAAGACATAAATTTTCATGATATTACTCTGAAAAAAATCAGAAAAAAAATCGAAATTCCTGAAAAAGTTTTACTCCAAGATGTTTGTGAGAATCCTAGTTCGATAGATTAAATTGCGCCGAAGGCGCACCAGGCAACTTTTTGCCAGATGCGCGACAAACAGGCTGGTTCTATGAAAATGCATAATTTCGGGAACACTTTAATGCAAAAAATACAAAAAAAAATGGTCAGAATCCCCCTTAAACTTGAATTTGAATCTAGGCATGTTGTGACATAAAACTAAAACCAAGAGATGGACGAATGTTCCGAGCTGTGAAGCTTCAACAACCGATTAACGACATGATCATCACTCACTCAATTTTTGCAAACAACAGTGGAAAAATTATGAAAGTTTTGGGCCCTGAAGAATATCGAGTGAGTTTATTAGTATCCTCATGTCCATATGTACATAGCACTCTAATAGAAGGTCGGCCCGCCAACTTTGGCCTCACATACCTCGGTCTTTGTGCAAGATATCAAAAAGTGGTTAACTAATAAATTATCCATCATAACATCATCAATATTTTATTAGTTGACCACTTTTCTATATCTGTTACAGTAACCGAGCTCGAAGTTAACGGCTTGCGTGGTCGATCAATCTCCGGTGCGCCTTCGCGGGCTCTATCATAATTTCTTTTCGAATTGAAATTTTTTGAGAGCCTAAATTAGATATGATAGAACTTGACAAGTTCTACGAAAACAAGTTCTACGAAAAATCTAAAAAGGGCAGGGCGGTGCCCTGATTGGCCCGGGTTGGCCACTTTATGGCTTGTAACTTTGTTCATAGACAAGATACATTTTTTCAAATAATATCGTTTCGTAGTGCTTATCAAGTTCTATCAAATCTAATTTAGTTGATTCAAAAAAATTGACTCTAAAAGAAACTATGGAAAAGCCGCCAAGGGTCCGTTTTCCAATTATGCTCATACCTAAAAAATATCAACTTTCAGATAAATTTAATAAAAGGAAAAGAGCAATTCGAGCTCACGGAATACCACAGAATATCAGTGCAACTAGTAGCTTCTTCTCCTCAACAACAACTTCGAGAAGGAATGTATTATTTTCCAGAAGGTATATAAAGTGTTTTGCTTAGATGAAATCGCGCCAAAGGCGCACCAGTCAGCTGATTAAAGCGCGGGAGGCGCAGCAAACAGATGGCTGACATTTTCATAAATTGTGACATCAGCAATTTTATTTTCAGAAAATCACAACGATCTTCGAGAGGGAAAAATCAATGAGATAACTGAAAATGATTTGGACAAGCTTGGCTGGTACAGAAGAATCGGAAACGATTGGCAAGTTGCTACCAGTGGACTGCTACTCAGAAATGCACATGTAGGTTCTAGCCTCAATCTTTTTGGTATCTATAGCAGTTGTGGAAACTTCTATTTTCAGAAAGTGGTCATTAAAAACTGCAAAGGCCAACTACACATGGACCAATTCTCTGGAACAAAGAATTTTGTGCTTCGTGGGACTCAATACAATGATACATTCAGTAAGAATTGTTACCGTAATCTTAAAAATTTTTTGAGTTTCAGATGAACGAAAAGTGTCAGAAAACAATTTTGTGCGAAGTGTGAAAGTCGACGAGTCTTCTCGAGAAATAACGATCATTCATGAGCATGGAACTGCTGCTCAGGTATCTTTGAAAACAGATACTCGTCCAAATTTAACGAAAAGTCAATCTCTTCTTGCCAATTTCACGGGAAGCATCACTTTGGATCATGATGGAAATCGAATGCTTAATGTTACTTTCTTCGTGAGTTCATCTCAAAAACGTCTTTTGCCGGTGGCCGTGGCCGAAGGTCCCACAGCGACAACTACCGTGACCTAACAATATTTTCGGTTTCAGTTTTTTGTTTTGTTATCTCGATTTTTCTTGCTTTTCCAGTCAATTCTTTCACTGTCAAAATTGGAGGAAAATACCCTAAAACCTGTAACACCTGTAATAGCAGCCCCCCCCCCTCCCACCACTTATAACTTTGAGCCCATATATCTCATTCCCCATAAAAGATGCAAAAAATTGTCAACTGATAAAATGTTTATCATATGATTATAAACATTTTATCAGTTAATACTTTTTTGATATCTTTTGCAGGAGTCGAGATAAGATATCTCAAACTTGACAGTGTGTGGGCGCCCACAACGCCCAAAATGGAGTCGACGCACCATGTCGTACCTTGGCCGACCAATAATTAGCTTCAAAATAAACACATGCAATCCAGTTAAATTGGAGAATACAGGGCTTGAAAAACTCTACAAAATGGTGCAAAAATATAGGGGTTTTGATTTTTGAATGTTTGAGGAAAACGCCGAAAAGGGAGTCGATGTACTTTGTCGTATTTTCGCCGACCCATAACTAGTGTCAAAATCAACTCTTTTGATTCATTAAAAAAAAGAAACAATAACCCTTGAAAACAAAATAAAGTAAAAAAGCACAAAAATCGAGAAATTATAGTCGGAAAATAACATTATTTTTAGGTTACGGTAGTTGTCGTTGTGGGACCTTCACAGCTTCGATTTGCTTACCAAAATAATAATTCAATAATTTATTTCAGGGTGTCAAAGGAACAGTTCATATCAGAATGTATGTGAATGATAAAAAACTGGTGGCCACTTTTGCATGTACTGCTCAATGTAAGATTCTTCAACTCGAGAACTCCCACCCCATAATAATATTTTTTTCAGTTGGAACCTCCGTGAAAGACGATGGGAGTCGAATAAGCCTTCCTTCGTCCATCAATCAAGCACAATGGGTTTGTATTCTACCGGATGAGCAGCCTGTCAAGTCGGAAATTTGTAAATGGATTCCGTATGAAGAGAAGGCAATTAGGTCGCCGAGACAGGAACAGAGCTGGTCCAAAGGACACTCGCCATGTTCGCAAGCAGAGTGAGTTCTGGGAACTGAGATTCATAAATTTGAAATAAAATTATTCCAGGTGCAATGGCCTGAAAAGTGGAGTCAGTGATTTGTTCCCATGGATAATCAATTTCGATTATTTTATGGCTCACGGTGGAGACTTGACAGAGGTAGGTAAACCCGTAATTGACTCAACCAAATTATCGAATTCTGAAATTTCAGTGGCTGAAAATGGGAATCCATATTGTCATAGCTGTTGGGCTACTGTTCCTTCTTATCATTCTCTTCACAAAATGCCTTGTTCCATTGGCATGTTGCTCACTATCAATCCCTTTCAAGAATCGGAATAAGAAAAAGAAGAAGAAGAACTCATCAGATTATTGATTGTATTTTAAATTGTATTTTCCTTTTATTTTGCTCATCCACACGGTGTTTTCCCCCGCATTTCTCACCCTAAAAACTCAGCTTTTGTCCCATTTTTCCCAAGTGATCTTTCCCGTTTCTCACGAGAAAACGCCTTGTTTTCTTGCCTCCCGAAAAATTCCGTACTGGTATCTACACTTCTTTGTTCATTTATCCTTGTTTAGCCCTTTTCCATTTTTTTTCAAAAAATGACAAATTAAATATGGTGCTCTTTTTCCTCTTCGCACTTTGATCAAATAAGTGTCATGAAAATAGAAAAAAAAAGAATGAGATCTTACACATACAAAGAGAGCCATTACAAAGTATACGACCTCCCCCCCAGGAGGAGCCACTAAAATTTATGCGTTTTCCGATTCGGCCAGCAAAAGTCTTTCCCCTTGTTCTTTTCTCTTTTTTCGATTTTTATTGCCTTTGTTGAGAAAAGAGTACGTTTGTCTCTTCAATCATAAATCAATCCGTTTTTGTGAAATTTTCATGAATGCTGTCAATGAAAAACAATTTTCGATGGAAAATTTTTTGATATTTCACAACACTTTTTTGTCGGAAATAGAAAAAAAGAGCCTGAATTTTTGTCAAGCATCGTGTCGATAGCTTCACTTTTTCTACCGTACTTCAAAGGAACATTCTTGAGAGAGGAAGGGTCTCGAGACGATTTTCTATTTTACCAATTTTTCGACGATTTTCACCGTTTTTTGTTAATCAAGGAAAAATCGAAGAGAATCATTGAAAAAACAACGCAAATCGTCGAAACATTGTTGAAATAAGAAAATAATGCTTTACTTTTTCGACCGTACTTTGAAGGAACATTCTTGAGAGGCGAAGGGTCTCGACACGATAACAGTACTAGTAAAAATATGACAATTCTGAAACTGTTTCCACTTGTTTCCACATTTTTTGTTTCTCTTTCATTTTTTGCTTTCCGGGAAGTTGTTTCAGTTAATTTAACTGTTTTCAAATCGAAAATATATTTCCCGCTTTTGTGGTATGATAATCGAGTCATTAAGCCTCTTCCAACTCCCGAACGCTGACCAGTTCGTTTCATATGAATAGAAACGGCGAAGGCCGCTGTCTTTCGGTTGCATTGCTTCATTCCTATAGCGACAAATGACCGGCTGTGTTAGAACAACCAAATGAATCACTTCTTCGCGTTGTCCGTTGTACTTTTGAATATTTTCGAAAATTTTCGAATTTCAAATGTCTTCTGTTTTTTTTAAAGCTTCTGTGACTTGCTTTGTAGCTGCAGGATGCGAGAAAATCCATTGGCGTCTTTACGATCGCTCACGAGATTCACGACTCCAATTTTCGAAGCATCTTCTATGCTCAATCATTATGGCTCTTTGCACATAAGAAACGGGGAAATGAGGCTTTTTGAAATTTCCAATTCCCACTCAAGGTTTCTTTTTTGTTTCTCTCTCGGTTTAGATTGAGGAAACATAGCGGATGGCCACCAGTTGTTTTCTTCCTCGCTCTTGTGTAATATATCGAGCTCAGATGAGATGAGAACTCATTACGAGATGTGATGTGCACTACTGATCATTGATTTTGTAGCTTCTTTCATCTTTTTTCTTCGCTATGTATCTGTCGGTTTATCACGAAAACATGATTGTCCTTCTCGTAGAATACATTTCAGTATGATCTTTAAAGGAAACTGAAAATCATACAGTATCTCCAGGGATGTTCAGAACGGAATTCCGAAAATTCCGATCATTTTCGTAATTTTTCGGAAGCTTTTTTTCGGAATTTTAGCCTTTTTCGGAGTTTTTGGACTACGGTATGTCAGAAAAATATTGCTGGCGGGCAGAAACTTCCAATTTTCGCGTTTTCAAAATCGAAATTTGTCAATTTTCACCAATTGTCGGCGTCTTTGTGATGGGAAAAATGGAGTTTCTACTTAAAATTTTCGAATTTCTCAAAATCGGAATTTTCGACATTCCTACAAATTCAGAACATCCCTGATACTGTGTCCCTTTGGTGAGAAGAATACTCTGGTACGAAATATTTCTATAAGTGAACTTCTTCGGCTGAAATAACCGTGCGAAGCATATAATGTCGTGAGTATGGGAAATGAATGATGTCAAGATACAGAATATATTCTTTCGAAATGTTCCCTTCAGTCACATGAGACCGTGACTCCTGCCTTCTTCTCGTGGTCTCGTCACGCTCTATCCTAACTGTATGTTTTGTTGTGTCCCCCGCTGTGCATAGCAGCCTCGAGAGTTGCATAGACATATACTTGATTAGTATCGGTTATTTTACTACAAAAAACAATTTCTCTCAATTATCTCTCTTCACTGCGCCATCTCAGTATGACGGCAGGTGCGTTTGTTGTTTTCTTCGTGCCTATCGGGAACATTCTGCGGAGGCGGCTGGGCGCCATCTGGCGTTACGACGGGAGGTCATTCGATTTAAATTTCTTTTCACTTGGGTTTCGTTATTGAAGTTTTCTCATACAAACTGAAAAACATTCTTTTCGATAAAAAACGAAGTGCATTTAAATAATGTCGTTTTGAAATTCTATACTCTAAGAAACGGCTTCTCCAGTGCCTCTGCTCTTTTTTTCAATTCCTTCGGGGAAGTATGATTTTCTGTTCCAGCGCCCCGGTTTCAGTGATTCATCATTCGGTTTTTTGTCCCTCACTCCCTTGCCCGTTACAATTTATTTCTTTATTTGCAACGTTCCCTCCCCTCAGATTCTTTGTCTTCTTTTTAGTTTGTTTTCCCATTTTTCCCCGAAACTCCTGCCACAAATTGTGTTGGCTGCTATCATCAATAATGAGCAGCGCCTCTATCTTTGCTCAATTCTCCTATCCCCTCCTGTTTCAAATCACGTTCAACGCACAAACTGAAACTTTTGACTCCTCAGAAAGTTTTGAGTGGTTTGTAGAAAAAAAAACGCATGTTTACCATAGGGCCTTTACCCGAAATTCGGCGAAAAGTAGCTTGAACTTTCAGCGAAGCGCCGGTTCACCAAATTTTGTTAATTTGTGGTTCAAAATGTTATCTAGAATCATTAAAAGTGGACCTAAAAATCCAACATTTTTATTGCATTATAAAGTTACAAAAGTTATTTATTTTCCTAAAATTATTGCGAAAAAATGCAGTCAAAAGCAAAGGCCATCAGTCGCCGTGGCCTAGGTTTATCACTGCAAATCCTCGTCACCCCGCGAAACTTTTTTTTTGAATTTTTATTGCTTTAAACGACATTTTTTGCAATAATATTAGATAAACGCATAATTTTTTGAACATTTTAAAGCAGTATAAGTTTTGGTCAAAGTCTCCCTTCAAAATCCCGAAAATGATCATAAATTGATATTTGAAAATTTGGTTGAAATTTTTCATTATTGCCGCGTTCAAGGTAGACTCCAGGAACTGGAAATTGCGTCCAAAGCTGCCAATTTTTCCAGGTTTTCCAGGAGCACGAAACGTCGATTTTCCGCGTTGTAGCTGTGTTAATTTTTCGAGGTCCGCTGTAAATTAACAAGAAACTTTCTTTTTT